GGCTATCCCATTCTTAACCCCTGCTCCATCTCCCTAGGAGGACACTGAAGGCTGGATGTTTGTGGTAAAAAGGAACGTGTGGAGCTGAAGGATTCTAAACATGAAAGACAACGGGGATGCATGTGAGCGGGGTGATTAATTATTCACATGCACATGTGACTTCTGAGTTAGAGCCGCAGGGGATCACTGCATTTCTCTGATGGGTTTGTGGCCCCCTGGGGATGCTCCGGGGGGGGGGGGGGGGGGGGGGGGGGGGGGGCACTTTTACATTTTCTGCTTTCATTTTTAAAAAAAATATTTAATTTATTTATCTTGACAGACAGAGATCACAAGTAGGCGGAGGGGGGATGCGGGGCTCGATCCCAGGACTCTGGGATCATGACCCTGGGTTCATAAAACCGAAGGTGGCTTTAACCCACTGAGCCACCCAGGCGCCCCTCTGCTTTCATTTTGATGGTGATCTAACAAGAAATTCAAAAGAAGCCTGTTGTGGCACATGTGGTTAGTAGTGTGCACTGAGGGCTGCCTTTGGAAAAGGAAGAGGCCGGGAAGGCTGGGGCTTCCCTTCACAGAGAATTACCGAGAAATCATCCCTGAGCGGCAGTGGGGCTAGACTGGAGGTTTTTGCAAGGCTGGAGAGCCAGCAAGATTTAGCAGATGGCCGAGCCTAGAGCTAGTGGACTTGACACTGAATCTGTCCTTGGGTACTTCCCATGGGAATGGCCTTAGGTGCTCCACGCTGAGCCTCAATGCTCTGGTGAATGTGAGCCTCGTTTCCTACGTCAAGGGTTAAATGTCAGTCACTTCATGGCTTCCTCACTGTTGAGGCTCAGTAGGTAGGTGTTGCCTCCTGCTCCCCTCTGGTGGTTGCGCCATTTGAGACTGGGGGGTTCTTCCTGGCACTGGCAGGGGTGCTGTCGTGTCCCCTTGGTCACTGGAAGGAGGCAGGAAAGACCCTGGTAGCACAGATTGCTCTACCTGCCTGTCTGCACCGGGGCCCCATGTTCCAAACTGCGGAGCTAGGAGAGTGTGATCTCATGCAGAAACCAGTGCCCAGAGAAGGGAAGTGACTGTCCCTGTCACATGGCCAGCAAGCGGCTTTGCTGGGATGATAACTTATGATGCCTTGTGACTTCCCACTGGTCCTCCTTCCGCTGCTCCTCATGGCCATGGCCTCCCAGGCACCTATTGCCGGGCGCACATGCTCCCACGCCCACCTGTGCTCCTTGCACCTTCTGAGCCTCCCTTTTCTGAATGCCCAGTTAGGGCCAGGATGGCCACTGGTGCCTCTGCTGAGGTCAGGCATCCTTCTCACCTGTAGAGGGACTGCAGCCAGGGACGGTGAGTGGAGAGCTGAGGGCTGTGCAGCCTCGGATCATTCCTCTGTAGTGAACAGGCTTTTCTTCCCACCACAAGAGAGGCTTTGCCAGGTGAGGCAGGGGAGGCTGCTGACATCTCATCTAGAAAGAGCAGTAGATCAAGATACTGTAGACAAGATCAGGGATCATCTTGCGTATCAGGAAGGGTGGGGTGCAGAATCCTGCTGTGAGAGGGTACATCAGGAACCAGCAGCTTCAGCAGCATCCTGGAACTAGTGAGAAATACCTAGCCCCAGGCCCCACCCAGACCGCTGAATCAGAACCTGTCTTTAACAAGAGCCCAAGAGATTTCATGTAAATGTGAAAATTTGAGAATCACTGCACTAAAATTGATCAGTACCGAGATGATGGAGATTTTTCCTTTCTTTTTTTTTTAATGTTTAAAATGTTTTTATTTACTTATTTGAGAGAGTGAAAGAGGAAGAGCGAGAGAGCACACAATCGGGGGGAGCCACATAGGGAGAGGGAGAAGCAGGGAGCCTGATGCGGGACTCAATTCGAAGGTAGACGCTTAACCGACTGAGCCACCCGGGCGCCCTGAGATTTTTATTTTCATTGTACTTGTTTCCCTGATTTATAGTTATTTTTTTACATGAATTACTTTTTTATTGTGGTAAAATACACATAATGAAATTCTCTGTCTTAAGCACCTTAGGCGCATAATACATTCACACTGTTGTGTGGCCAACACTGCCGCCCATCCCCTTGACTCCATCCTGTAAAACTGAAACTCTGTCCCCATTAACACTAACTCCCCATCCTCCCTCTCTCCTGTCGCCTGAAAACACCATCATAATTTCTGTCTCTGATTTTGACTACTTCTTACAAGTAGAATCATGTATTATTTCTCTCTCTGGGCACTGGCTTATTTCACTTAGCCTAATGTCCTCAAGGCTTATGCATGCAGCATTGTGCAGAATTTCCTTCCTTTTGAAGGCTGAATAATAATGGTGCATCGTATGGACAGACCCCATTTTGCTTTTCCGTCTGTCAATCGACACTTGGGTTGCTTTCACGTCTCAGCTACTGTCAATGATGCTGCTGTAAACATGGGCATACAGTATCTCTTTGAGACCCCGTTTTCAATTCTTTTGGGTGTCTGCTCACATCTGGAATCATTGGGTCATATAATAATTCTACCACATAAATGACTTCTATGATATAAAAAAATAGCAAAGCATCTCAGGGTGGAAAATCTTGTCAAGTTTCCAGCTGGCATTGCCCAAGGGCAGGTAGCGTTGTTGGATGTAGTGCTTGGAAGAAGGAAGAAAGCAAGCCTCACTTGCTCATCCTGGTGTTAGAGAGAGAAGAGCAGAAGCTAAACCTGCTGAACCAAAAAGTAGGACGTACTGATAGTCATGGGCATCAGGAGAGGTTTGGGGGGGTTTGGGCATGGTTGGGGGGGTCTCCAACCATCCTGAATGACACTCCAGTGTGGCCTTTCTCAAAACCCCTTTCTCAAAACCCCTCCAGAGAAAAATAGCAATGACAGCGTTCGGAAAGTCAGTTGTTATCACTGTGTGTCTGTGGCGTGTCTACACCCTGGTTTCATCTGTGCGCCTGGAGCGAGGCAAGAGCCTTGTGTGGTGGCCCCCACACAGACTTTCAAGGGGCACCGTCTTGAGTAAGGATCACAGTTCCACCAGTGAATATTCAGATTAGAACAAAACCTGTTATTTTGGTTCACGAGGCCCTTTGTGACTGGCCCCTGCCTGCCTGTCTAATCTTTCCTTCCTCATTTTTGCTTTTTGCTCAAGTCACAGCAGACTTAATTCTGGTCCTGGGAGACCAGAAGCCAAGCTTGTTCCTGCCTCTGGGCATCCGCCCTGGCTCACTGCTCTGCCTGGAAAGCTGGGCTCCATGCCTTTCGGGGGTTGCTCCTTCTCTTTATAGAGGACTCGGCTCACATGTCACCTGTGTGGAGAGGCCTTCCATCACTGCCCTGGTGAGTGGGGCCCTCTTCCTTCCTCCCTGTCTCATCACCCCGTTTGGTTTTTCTTCTTGGTATGACTCTGACATCATCTCAGTTTAGGTGACTCAGGTGTGATTTTTGCTCCTTGGGAGGCTGGTTCTTCTGTACCACTTCGCTCCCATGTCCCCAGCACTCAGCACATTGCCTGGTACACAGTAGAAGTCAAACAAATACCCAGTGGGTCAGTGCACACGCTTGCCATCGTCTCCGGGCTTCAGGTTCCCATCTGCAGTGTGGGGATCCTAATACTTCGCTTGTACGGGGACTGTAGAAATGACACGACGTGATGCTGGCAGAGCGCTCAGGGCCTGGCAGGACGTGCTCAACATGTGGCCACTGTTGTGCTCAACTGAGTGGCCCTGACATAACTCGGATGAATCGCTCACCACCTCTGCGGTGAGGCCCTGCTGGGACTCCCCGGCGCAGCCCACGGTAAATTGTCCAAGCGAGAAGCAGCTTGCTGGCACTTCGGGGCCTGTGGTGTGGGGCGTCTGCTCTTGTGCTCCTGAATTGAGTCTCCTTGGAAGTGACTGTGTTCTCTGTCCGGAGCCGTGTCTCTGTGGACTGGAGTCCCCGGGCCTCCTGTTGGCCCTCAGGTGTAGCTGTAGAGTGCTCTGCTTGTGCTCTGAAGTGTCCCTGCCTCACACCGTTTCAAATGGAAGCTCGGCGCATGCCACGTGTATCGACTAGGAATGCTTTTGGTCTCAAGTAACAGCCCGGCGTCCAGTGGTCTGAGCAAACAGGGTTGTTTGCTCTGTGAGAGGCGGGAGGATTCTAGTATTGGCTCAGCAGTGAAGTGGCGTGTCTCTGCAGTTCTCTTGGCCTTCCCCGGGGGCTGTTGCTCACGGCTGCACGGTACTGCTCTGGCCACCCCCCCGCCACCCCAATCACAGTTATGATGAAGGTGTGAGGGATGGAAGGAGGAATGAAACCATTAGCGTGTTTTTTTTTTTTTAAACTCAGGAAGGCATGGTTTTCCCCGAGCCCTCCCAGTGCCCTTCCGCCTACATCTCGTCAGCTAGAACTTCTTAAGGTCAGCCTTCTAATAGAGGAGTAATTAGGCCTTTCAGCTTGTACTGTGGGAGGTGGCATGGGGAAAGGATGTCGGAGTTGACAGCGAGGTCAGCCGAAGGGCAGTGCCTGGCATGCTAGGGAACCGGCCTGGTAAGGCAGACTGCTGGTTCTCAGCTGGGGGCAGTTTTGTCCCCCAGAGGACAGTTGTGCAGTATCCGGAGACATTTTTGTAGCCACAGCCATGGGGTGCGTGTGTGTGTCTGTGTGTGTGCGCGCGCGTGCACGTGTGTGTTTTGCTAATGGTCTGGTGGGTAGAGGCCAGGGATGCTGTAGGCTTCCTGCACTTCACGGGGCAGCCCCCACCACAGAGAGTGATCTGGCCCAAACGTCAGTGGCGCCAAGGTTGAGAAACCCTGAGTTAGACCTTTCTGGACACAGTTTTCAGATGTGGGGGACATTCATTGAGCTGCTTTCCTGTGATGTAGCGAGAGGCAGATGGCCAAACCTCACTGTAATGGTGTGGATTTTTGGTGCCTTCATTACAGAGGAGGCTGATGCCAGTTGGGGACAGTGGCAGGAAGTCTTGGCAGAAGGCTTATGTCAAACAGAACTAATGAAGCCTCATTGCATTTTAGGATCACAGAACAATGACCTGAAAAGACAGTTTCTGCTGGAGCGTCTGCTGGATGCGGTGAAACAGGTAAGAGGAAAGCTCCCCTTTGACTTTGAGGTCCAGTAACAGTTTCAGGCAGTGCATGTCCAAGTCCTTTCTGCCCTTCCCTGTATGCATGGACCTACTTCCACTTTTCTTCTGGGAGCTGCGAGGCTCGGAGTGTCCCCCATGGCACGATGGAGCAGGGAGGGCAGTCGGAAGTAGTGACAGAGGATTGCCCTGTGTCCTGACTTTCTAATGCCTTTGGAGGACTCTGTCCTTCGTGATGTCCCTTTAAGAAGGGCACGGATGTCAGTTTCAGAGTCTCACACAGTTGTGTTTCAGGGCGACTCTTCCGGGTGCTGAGGTGGTGGCTAGAGTTAGTGCCCCGTGGGCACAAGAACAGAGACGCGCAGGAGGAAGGAAGCCATGCCCGGGGGCGCGTGGGTCCTCCAGGTGGGCTCCGCTCCGATTGCTTGACGTGATTTTTGACACTGGCTTTTGGCTGGGTGTGGAAGCAAGCTGGGACACGAGGCTGACTTCGGTGTGCTCGCCTGCGTGTGCCAGACACGCGTCGTTAACTGCACCCGCGTAAGTCCCATGCCAGGCTCTCTGCTAAGCGCTTGCCCTCTAATCCTTCCAACCGCCCTGTGAGATGGTTCCTGCAGTTCTTCCCAGTTTGTGGACGAAGCGGCTGAAGCTCGGAAGGAGCCAACCATTAGCTTAAGGAGTTGGAGGCGATAAGTAGCAGAGCTGGGATCCGGCGCTGGGAATTCTAGGTTGCCCACGTCTTGGAGGGCGTGGCTGACAGTGCTGTGTGTGCGGTCAGCACACAGGGAGGTCAATACTTGTGTAGAAATGCGTGTCAAGCATTGACGTGAACTCCGAGAACTTGGTGTCTCCCGGGCCTCTAGGCGTCCTGGTGTGGCATGTGCTGGAAAGGACACAGGCTCTGGTGAAGCCAGAGCCGAGTGCCAGCTTCATCTCAAGGCTGTGTGTCCTGGGCCCGCTCCTCCAGCCTCTCTGGTCATCCCCTTTCTCTGTCATCGGGTCGCTGCTCTCCAGAGGGCTGCTGAGGGGATTGCATTTGTTCAAGGAGCTAAAGGGCCCAGCAGTTAAGTACAGAACCCACGTGAATTTCTTCGCCCCAGAAGCGGGAAATGGAGTAAGAAGATGAAGAGGCAAGTGGAACCGCTTCGAATGCAGCCATTAGACCGGCGCGCATTGGAGCCTATGCCTGGAGCTGCTGCTGTTATCATTGTTGTTGTTAGGATTTGGGGAGATGAAAGTGTTGTACACAGACCTTTTAGAAGCCAGTCTGCCTGAGGAATAACTGAGGCATACAATAAAATACACTGAAGTGTGCAGTTCCATGAGTTTTGACATAGGTATCATTTAAAATCATTCATTCATTCACTCATTCATTCATTCTTTGGAGAATAAGTTCTGGAATCTTGCGAGCCTGCCGCCCGCAGGGGAGATGCCACACCTTTAAAAACCAGTGGTGGCTACTGCTGATGGTGACACAGTATTGCGCATTGAATGGTGTATAACTAAAAATGGTTAAAATGGTGAGTTTCATGTTACCTGTTTTTTTTTTTTTTTTTACCACAATTAAAGAAGAAACAATGGTTTGCTTTTATCTGTACCCACCCTGGGTGAACTGTCATTCGGCTCAATTGGATGACATGGTTGAAGCTTGAATCATGCTGCCCTAATTTTATACGCAGTCATAACAACTTTGGGGCCCTTTCCAAAGGCACCCATCATCGCAGATTTGTGTAAGTTTTAATTGTCCCTTTGGGAGCTCTCTGTTCAGCCAGCTGCTGACGTACAGAAGAAGCTTCCTAGATAATTCGCAGAAGGCTGTGTGCTTTTGTTTTCCTCTTGGTGTTGTTTTCCTGCAAGGCTCCCCTCTGTACGTGTGGGAGATTAAGGGCTTCCTGTAAGCAGTGGCTAGAAGGCTGGGTGGTCAACCATCTCACGTCTTGGCTTGACACCCAGGGCACCTGGGGTTTCTGGCCCTGTGTGTCTCAGGATCCTGAAAGCCTGTATGGGCTGTGTGTAATGTCTCAGTGTCCCGTCCCAACTGCTGATCTCAGTGGCTTCTTTTTCCATGCAGTGCCAGATCCGCTTTGGAGGGAGAAAGGAGATCGCCTCGGATTCTGACAGCAGGTAAACATGTCCCTTCTAAAACCATTTACTGTCAAGACCAAATGGCGGCCAGGCATGACTAGCTTCTGCGTTCTGCCTCTGCAGCCGAGCGGTGTGGTGATTCAGTTTGGGGGATCTGTACACCCATGCTGGGATTACCTGTCTGGAGTGTTTGCAGCTTCCGGTGATACTCCCTCCCTCGAGCAGTCCATTCTGAGGGAATTACCTGAAATACCTTTCTGCATAAAGTTATTTTCAGGGTAATTGATCACGTGGCAACTCTGAAATCTAAATGCTCAGCAGGTGGGAGGTGGTTAATAAAGTGTAGTGTGTCAGTAGGACGGGATGTTAAGTAGCCATTAACACTGATGTCCCGGGGTGCCTGGGGGGCTCAGTCCTTCAGCGTCTGCCTTTGGCTCTGGTCATGATCCCAGGGTTCTGGGATCGAGCCCCGCATGGGGCTCCCTGCTCAGCGGGGAGCCTGCTTCTCCCTCTCCCACTCCCCCTGCTTGTGTTCCCTCTCTCGCTGTGTCTCTCTCTGTCAGATAAATAAATAAAATCTTAAAAATAAATAAATAAATAAATAAATAAATAAAATTTACATCCATACAGCATTTGTTTTTTTAAATTTTTTAAATTTTTTAATTTTTATTTTTTTAATTTTTTTAATTTTTAAAAATTTTTTTAATTTTTATTTTTTATTTATTTTATTTTTTTATTATTATTTTTTATTTTTTTATTTTTAAATTTTTTTATTTTTTTAAATTTTTAAATTTTTTTATTTTTAATTTTTTTTATTCTTTTATTTTTTTATTTTGTTATTTTTTATTATTTTTTTTATTTTATTTTTTTATTTTTTTTTAATATACAGCATTTGTTTTAAGCAGAGAAATGCATATGTGGTAATTTACAAATTATGTATGTAGTTAAAATGCAAAGAGTAAGGTACAAAGTTCTGTGGATGCAGAGTGATGCCTGCGATGTTAAACCACACTCGGGTGAAGCACCCACTGGAGTGGGAACAGAGGTAATCCTGGGGTTGAGAATATTAGGAATCCTTCTACTTTTTGATATTTTTCATATTTTTTACTGCGATCATGTGTTTCTTTTATAATTAACAAAGAAAAAAGTCCTGAAAATTGCCATTGACCTTCATGACCCAGGAAGGGCTGATGTAATTGCGTGAGCTTCTCACATTGACTGGGAGGAGCCGGAAATGTTTTGGCAAAGGTAAGAGACACACGGGCGTTTGCTCTGTGAAGTCATTCGGGCCTGATTCATGGCGGCAGGAGGAGCATTCCCGAAAAGGAAGGGAAGGAAGGGAACTCACTTGCTCAGCATCTGGCTCATCCTGGAGCCTGGCCACGGCCCCCACCCTGCCCAGCAGAGCCAGTCCCCTGTCTGTCCTTTCAGACCCGAGTCTGCCGTACTTGACCAGCCTCGAGCAAAGCCCGGAGTGCTACATGTTAGTATAGGCTGCCGGGACTGTTTGAACTGGTGCAGACTTAAAATTCTACCCCTCCTTTATTCTCTTTTTTCCTCTACTTCTTCTCCCTAACACTTAGCACCAACAGCAGACTGTTAGGCTTTTTTATTTTGTTGATTTCTGCCTCTCTGTGTCATAATGTCAGCTCTGTGCGGGCAGGGATGTTTGCTGACTTATTCGCGGCGGTACCCCCAGTGTCTGGAAGCATGGAGAAGGTGCTCAGGAAAGACTCACTGTCCCGGTGAGCGTGAGCATTGCTTCGTGCCGTGGTCAGGTGTTTAAATATCTGTGCCACCAGGAGGTTTGAGCCCTGAGGGCAGAGGGGCGCCTCCTTTGGTGTGTAACTCTCAGCGTTTTGCATGGACATTTCATGCCCGTCACACGTTCGCTTCTCAGCACATGCTTGTGGCGTCAGATCTCGAGTCCATTTATTGCATCAGTTTCTCCTGAGGCTCCACTCTGGGGCCCGGCCCCGGTCAGCACAGGGGTCGTGGTTTGGGGATGCAAGGTCCCCCTGCATCAGAACCATCTGGGAGGCTTACTAAACAATAATGCAGCGCTCCATCCCGTCCAAGACCGCTGCGTGTACGCGCACGAGTGTGTGAGCGTGTGCGCGTGTGCCTCCGTGTGGATGTGTGTGGGTATGTGGATTCAGGACTTCTTCCTCACTTTTTTTTCCCATGATTGTCCAGTTCTCTAAGTTCAATACTTAGAGAATCCATCTCTAAGTGTTAGATTAATGTGTTCTTATATAATGGAATTTACTACTAATATTTTTATTGGGTGCAGCGTTATGTTTTATAGTAGAAGTTAAAAAGTTAATTTCGTCAATGAGAGTTGTAGTTCAAGGCTAAAAGGAGTATGCTGCTTTATATTAATAGTAACAGCTATGGCTTCTTCTGGCTACTCTGGATTCATGTTGATGCCTCGCCTTTGGGACAGCACCAGGAGGAGTGGTGGTGTTATTCCTTTTTTACAGATCAGGAAAGAGACACAGAAAGGTAGGCTAATCCAGCTTCTGTGGGGCATCTGAGAAAGTTAGACCTGCAAGTGGGACCCCAGTTCCTAGGGCTCCAGAGTCTGTTCTCCCCATGTTACAGCACATTTAAGTGATTTTGTTCATTTTGAAGCTGGGTTTAAAAAAATCAATTCTTCCCCTCACCTTGAGGATTCCTTCTCACTAACAGTCTTGGTCTTATCTTTGAAATGTGTTTGGGGAAAGGTGGCGCGACCTTCATGTAGGAAAGGCCACATCACTTTCCTTATCCTGTGGGATAGCTCAACCTCAAGAGGGAAAGTCTGTGAACATTTGTTGTGGGCACTGAAAAGATAGTTGAGTCCCCTTTCTTCTCCACCGCTGACAAACGTCCTGGCCCCACAAGTGATCTCAAATGGATTCTCTTCTCTCCAGCTCCCCTGCTGTTACCTTGTTCCAGTCACCACATCTCCCACAGGGCGGCTGCCAGAGACGGACTCCCTCTTTTCCTTCTTGTCCTGCTTCCTCTGCACAGAGAGTCTTCTGCAGAATGTATGAACCTTCCTGTCACACCCGCCCCCACCCCCCCAGAGGAGAGCCTTCCCCAGCTTCTCTTTGCTCTCTGGAAAAAGACTCACATCCCGAACACAGTCTCGCTCTTTGCTCCAGCTACCCTGGCCTGGCCTTTTCTATTTTTGTCTTGTTTTATTTGTTTTTAAAGCCTTTTAATAATTGTTAGGGAAATCTTCAGATCCCTGACACCAGTTCTCCATCCCCAACCCAAGTTCTGGTCATTTGGATCTTTTTTCCTTGCTCTATACCATGGCTCAGGAAATATTTATATTTGTCCTTGGTCATTCTTGACTGTGCTCTAAAACCCCTGGAATTCCCAAAGTGATAAGAGCCATAAAGGTGTCTTTTGATGTGACTTTTAGAAACCTACTTTTAGAAAGTCCCAAAGGTTGGGGGCCGGTTGCCAGGAGAACCAACACTGGGATCAGAGGGTTGGAACTTTCTTTCCCAGCACCCCCACCACTGGGGAGAGGAGGAAGGTTGGAGATGGAGTTCAGTTGCCAAAGGCCAATGATTTAATCGATCCTGCTTACGTAATGAAGGCTCCATAAAACCCCAAAAGGATGGGGCTCAGAGAGCTTCCGGGTTGGTGAGCATGTGGAGGCACGGGGAGAGGTGTTCCTGGGGAGGGCATGGAGGCTCCACGTTCTTTCCCCTTACCTGGCCCTACGCATCTCTTCCACGTGCCTGTTTCTGAGTTACATCCTTTTTATAATATACCAGTAATCTAGTAAGTACAATCCTTCTTTGAGGTCTGTGAGCCACTCGGGCAAATTAACCCACAGAGGAAGTTGTGGGAATCTTCAAGATACATAGCCAGTTGGTCAGAAATACAGGTGATAACCTGGGCTTGCGACCAGCATCTGAAGTAGGGGGATGTGTGTCGTCTTGTAGAGCTGAGATCTTCACCTGTGGGATCTGATGCTGTCTCCGGGTAGACGGTGTCAGGATTGAGGTGAGTTGTAGGACACCCAGCTGATATCAGAGAACTGCTTGGTGGCGTGGGGGAAAACCCACACATTTGAGAAGGTGATCAGAATCACATCTACCCTGCCAGTTGGGAGGATTAAGTCAGATACTGTGTGTCAAAGTGCCAGCCAGGTGGGTGTTAATTTCACTCCACGGGGAAGGAAGTCTGGTGGGGACAGTCATCACTCAGCTGTGACTCCTGCCCATGCTGCCTGGTGATGGGGTGAGCAGTCTGCAAATAGAAGGGAGGCTCAAATGTGAGTCAGTGAGCCTTATCGACGTTCTCTTTTGCTCTCAGGGAACAAGCGAAGATGGGAGATTTCTTTCCATGTAACTCTGGGTATAGTTCTCAGCCCCATTTGGAAGATGGAGCTCCTTAGTTTTGTCTTTTCCTGCATCGTTCTCCTGCAGGAAGCTAAGAACCAGTGTCTGCTGAGACATAATGGGTAATTGCAAGGGATTTTTTTCTTAAAAGGCCAAGTGTTGTCTTTGAATGCCCTTTTAAATTTACTGTCCTGGGCAAAGTTCTGTGCATGACTGGGACTGGCGGCCAATGGTCACAGCTAAATTCCTGCTGGTTGAATGAACATCAGTAGGAACCCTTGAAGGGATGGTCACAGCTGTTTCTGCCAAGGCTCTTTGGAAACAGGCAAAAGAAATCCACTCCAGTTAAGGAAGTTGTGAGCTTACAGAGTTGAGGCCGGCCGGGTTTGGAAACAGGAAAGAGCCAAGACAGCTTTGGAAGGAGCCGCCTAAGTTGGAAAACGGGGGCCCAGAAATGGTCTTCTGGCAGGAATGGTAAAAGTTCTGCTGCTGAAGTGACTCTCATTCTGCTCAAGATTGACTTTCTGGGGAGGAAACACCTGCTTGGTTGGTCTCAGGTCACATGACCCCCTCCCCACTGCCAGCAGGAGGATTTCCCTCCTGGCCACCAGCAGGAGGAGTTGGTGAAGGAGCTTCTTGGGACCCCACTGGCTTGCCCAGTGTAAGATGTCTACTTGGAGGGCGCCTGGGTGG